GCTTGGATATCGTTTCGTTTTGCGAAAAAAAGTTTTACAAAGCGGTTGAAAAAATTGCTGGATCAGTCGAAGCTAAATTGTTAGACGCTCAAGGAATTTGAACTGAATATTTTTTTCTGAACATAAAAGATGTATCTTGTATTCTTTCAATTTCACGCTCAGCCTTAAACGATATCAAAAGATTTGTTTTAATTTGAAGCCGATAATTATACTTAGACAATGAAAACAGGTTGTCGTGGTAATATTTGATGCCTTTATCAACTTCTCTATCAAAAACACGAAGAACATCTTAAGATTCCTCCACTGTAAAATCGATCTCAGCCCAGGAACGTCCAAATGACATGAAATTTTCAGGATATGTTGAGTGTTGTAGAATATTTATGGTAAAATTTTCAGCTCGATATCATGATGTTTACCGAAAATACCAGCCAAACAAGGCTGAAAAATAGCGAATTGGGTTTCCCAAAATTCTCAGCCTAGACTCATATCATAATTTTAAACTTTTTTTTGTTTGATAAAACATGTCAAGGTGCAGAAGAAAAAAATGGTTTTTTTTTTTTTAGGGTGGGGGTGGGTGAAGTATGGATGCGAGTGTAAATGAAGATAAGATACCCACGCTCATACCCACACCCTTTTTTGTGAAATACGATCTGAAAGGAGTGTTGAAGTGTTTAGGGAAAGAAATTTGGACCCTCCCCCTCCCCATCGACCGTTACAGACACGTAATTTCCCCCTCACAGAACGTAATAGGCAGACTTTGCATCCATTACAAATCGTGACAGGCAGAGTTTACATCCATCATAGACTGTGAGAGAGAAACTGTAGTTCTAAAGTCTCAGATAAACGGTTAGCTAAAAAGGTATTGCAAAGAAATGGAATAAAAAGATTTCTATTCAATTAGTAACAACAGATCTATCGTGTTTTACATCTTTCATCCCGCAAGGGATTCCGCTAACAGTTTTTTTCTATTGTTAGGCGTTTAGATAAACAGGAGATTCTAAGAGATACCGCATCTCCTTGTGGAGAAGTGCTGAAGACGCGGTATCTTCACAGGAAGATATAACTTCAAGCATATTTGAAGGCAAAAGTTTCTTTAGTTTTTAGCCTGGAATCTCTACAGAAGAAGCGGCATTTCCCACATTGGCATCTCCTGATGAAATGTTTTTTCTACTTTCAGGCTTTAACTCATGCGAAAGATGCCGATGGGAAAGACGCCATATGCCCGGCACTTATTTACAGGTAGATGCAGCACTTCCTGCAGGAGCATTGCTCATAAGTGTGGATTCGGACGATGGTGTAATGGTCGCGTCTATTTGTAGCTAGCCTGGCATTTCCTGCACTTTTCCAGAACCTCCGATCTCTTGGATGTGTGACACATCTTCTAGCTTCTCCACAGGTTTACCCAGTTTCCTCGATTTGCTGGATATGTGACAGGGTTCACTAAATTAGGATAAATCCTGTTCACTTGTCGCGTCAGCGTATCTGCTCCTTCAATGTTATGTTAAATAGTATCATGAAAAGACGTCGCATATGAACTAGTGACCGTATTTCTCTCTTTCGATTGTGAGTGCAGCACTGAAGCGATTAATCAATAATGAAACAAAAATGTGATGTTTTGAATGTATGCAAAATTTTAATCATTCAAGTTTCTATTATCAATCGGATTTTATCTTCATACTACATTTTTCGTGGTGGCTGCATGCCTCCATATTTGAAATATACACAACAAGTTTTCTCATACATTCCAGTAAAAATATGTCTTTCCTAAAAAATCTGTTGGATCAATTCAACCGATCATCGGTGTCCATATGGAACATTGTTCCCGGCTAGTCTGATTCATTAAATAAAATTATGTTCTTCTTTTTATTTATTTATTCTTCTGTATGTATTTGCGTTTGTTTTTCAAAATATCTCCCGTATAATATTTTAATTATAAGTTGTGTCTATATGTTTGTCCTTGCTAAATACGCATGATCAGCTATAAACCGCTTTGTCTTATCTAAACATGCTTGGCCATGAGACTCGTTATCAGATATGCACATGCATACACGTTATAGATAGTCGACTGATAAAGAAAGAAAAGAATAAATACATGGCTTTCTAGAAATACATCGACAGAGACACAAAAAAGTATCAATGCATCTCTTTTTGATAATACTACTATTGATCGTTTTTGAAAATGCCTTGCATGGCGATCGAGCTTCAAAAATGTTCAATGAATCACCTGACCCTCGTTTACTTGCAGTTGGGAATCCAAATATACCACTCGAATACGACTGCGCGCTGCGAGCCTTCGCCATTGAAATGGCTGCCTACATTGCACCCATCGCCTCCAAAGTGAATTGGACGGTTCTTAGTCAAAGTGCCTTTCAAATGAATCAATGCACCAGTACCTCATTTAATGCTTATCAACCGTCAAGCTTTGCTAAACCGTTGAAGACCGTGACAGAAATGCCAAAGAGTACCTGTCACCATACTATTTTTGCGCAAGATTCAAAAGGCAACGATTTATTCGATGGCACATTGGAAAAGCCAGTGAAAACTATTCAAGCCGCTCTATCTCTCACACGTGCTCTACGTACTGTGCAGGGCAGTGACAGCATAATATGCGTGATTATACGCGGAGGAACTTACTATCTTGGAACAAATGCCACGACAACAAGTAGTCAAATTGGTGCAATTTCCCTGACAAGTAATGATAGTAATCTTGTTATTGAAAACTATCCAGGTGAGGTTGTTGTATTAAGTGGTGGAACATTATTGCAATTACAATGGTCTGTCCATGCTAAGGCAGCAGCTGGTGGTAGAATTATGAAAGCTCAAGTGCCAGATTCTGTCAATCTTGATCAGTTCAATGAGTTATATATCGATGGCAAAAGGGCAATTGTTGCTAAAGCTCCTGATGGTGATCCTTCTACTCGGGGTTTATATGCGAGTGATCCAGGATTTTTTGGTGAAGCACAAAGTTGGGTGCGACCAATTGAAATTCCAGCTATGAAAATTTATGTTGACGAACCTTCTCGCAATGGAACAATATTTAGTAACTATCAAGATGGTATAGGTGGTGGTGCTTCCGTTTTCAATCCACCAAGAAATTATTGGAGTGTCACCACTCCACGTGGTGTACTGAACTATCATGTTCCTCGTGGTCTCACGGTGAAAAATGTTCAATTACCTCATTTAAGTAATTGGAGCAAGCCTAGTACTGGTTTTGTACACACTTTTCACGGCGGTTATTGGGGTAGTTGGGTGTTTGAAATAGCTTCAAGAAATAGCACAGACAATACAATCCTGTTTGGACGAGGAGGTTTTCAAGAAGCACATGGCTGGGATAATGGTGGTCCGTTCTATGTTTCAAATATTTTCGAAGAACTCGATTCGCCAAATGAATGGTTTTTGGATAAAGATACTCGTACTCTCTATTTCATGCCCAACGACACTATGCCGAATGTCTTCGTTGCTAGTCAAATTCCTTGTATTATATCTGTGAGTGGCAGTAGCATTGAAGATCCTGCTAACAATATATTGATTCAAGGTTTAACACTGACGCATACAACGAATACTTATATGAGAGATTACATCGTACCAAGTGGTGGTGATTGGTCTGTTCACCGAGGTGGAACCATATTTTTGACGAATACAAAAAATATTACCATTACAAATAATTTATTTACGCAACTAGGTAGTAATGGTATAGCTGTTATTAACTATAATGATGCTACCACCATTTCTTTAAATGAATTTGTATGGCTAGGTGACTCAGGTATTGTTCTTGTTGGTACCACAAATGGCATTGATGGGTTTAGTGTAGCAAGTCAGCCAGCTAGTACACTCATAAAATCAAATCTATTTCATGAAACTGGCATCTATATTAAACAATCATCACCAGTTTTCATTACTGTAAGTCGAAGTATATCTGTGATAGGTAATCTAATGTTTAACATGCCACGTGCTGCAATTAACATAAATGATGGCTTTTATGGTAATCATACTATCAGTCATAACGTCATTTTCAATGCTGTACGAGAAACTAGTGATCATGGACCAATCAATTCATGGGATCGACAACCGTACTTAAGCGATGCCATTCAGCCAGGTGTACCATCACTTCGGCAACATAATAGTTATATTCATCACAATGTTCTCTTCAATAATTATCGATCTGTATGGCCAATCGATCATGATGATGGTAGTTGTTATTATGAGGATAGCTATAATTTTCTAGTATATGGCGGCAAGAAAAATTATCTAGGTCACTCAAAAATGGATCACCATGAGATTTATGTGTACTCGGATTTAAGTGCAGGTGGATTCGGTAGTGGCAATTGCCTCAACGATTATGCTCCTGTACGTGGTACTAGTGGATGGAATGAAACTTGGATTGAAAATATTTGTACACTGTTTAATAGTTCAGTACCCTACAATATTGGAGACTGTGATACAGGCAGTCTCTACGTCCCATATCTGGCAAATAATACAATTTATATTCCAGCAGGTGCAGAGGTCGCATTTATTTGTAAAGTCAATGGTACTAGTACTCGTTTGAACTTACAACAATGGCAATCATATGGATTGGATGCTGGTACTGTTGTTAAGACAGCACCCGATGTCCAGGCAATCATTGAATGGGGCCGGAAAATGTTACAAGACACATAATAAACTAATTTATCAATAGATACAAACAAATGAGCTTGTGGATGTGCCTGTGGGTGTGAGGTGTCGTGGTTTGTTGAACATGGATGCTCTGTCAATCGACACGCAGACCCACAACCACATCCACACCCACCCTCAAATTCATTAAATAAAATATTGAGTAATAGTAAGACATTATCAAATTGTTTAAATAAAAGAAAAAAAGTAATAATTTTTGTTTTCTTATTTTATTTTTTTTTATTAAAGTTCGATTTTTCTAAAATCATTTCTTTATCTACTTTTCAGTAATTTTTTTGTAATTGTTTAAAAATATTTAATGTACATCTTCGAAAAAAAACTCTATTATGTCAAACTGATGCTTCTATCGTTTATTCATTTTTAGATAAGTATTGTCATAAAAAGAAACTTTCATCATTGTTTTTTTAGTGTCGTTATATAAAAGTAGAAATTTCTTTGAGAAATACGCTCAAAAAATAATAATATCATCACATAAAGATTCATCATAACAGTAAAAATTTGTTTCTATGCTTAAAACAACACATGATCGATATTATTTTAAAAAAATTTCTTTTAATATTTTGTCTTTATTGATATAGTTTAATAACCATTATATTCAAAACATTCGTTAACAGATTTTGTTGAAAAAAATTTTAATTCATTATGAAATGGTAGCTTTTAACTTTGATATTGGTTTATAATTATAAATAATGGCAATCAATCTAAAAACATGATCTAATGTTTGAAAAATGAATATTAAAAACCTCATTTAATTATTTCAATTTTTTTCATAATTGATTTTGAATAATTTAATTTTTTTATTGTTAGGTAGTGGCGCTGTCTATAAGCCACTACCTTTTTCCTTCTTCTATTGGTCTTATCTATATAGATATATATATAGATATGTTGTTATGGTGAAGGCAGAATAAAGATCGATCTAGAAAGAGTTAGTCTTGATCTACAGACTAACAATTGGTGCCGTGACCCGTCTTCAAAACATATAATATAAAAAAAAAAAAAAAAAAAAAAAAAGACTAACAATTCTATCCAAAAAAAAAAATAAATTAAGGAATTTCTACCATTGTAGTTTATCATTCTCATTAAACTTATTTGATTGTGTCTTTGTATAATTCTTTATATGATGATGTTATTGATTATGTTTATATATATGATTGTTGAATTTTCTCTTCGTGGTGTAATTCGATGTATTTCAGCTTTTACTGATATTTGTGTTTTGTTTTTTGTATGATAACAACACGTTCCCATTATCGTCAATTATTTCAAGACGAAGTTCAACGATTAGCTGCAATTGAATTCAATATCCCTGTTAATCAGGAATCTTCTACTCATCCCATCGTTCATTATCCAAAATTTTTATCCATTATGGAAGAACAATTTATGTCAACATTAGCAAAAGAGCAGATCAAGAATCTTGCTAGATTTGGTGGTGGTCCAGAAGAAGATGTTATTAAATGGTTACAAGAAGTTGAAGAAGTATTTGATAGAGCTCAATTACAACCATCCAATAAATACCTTGCCGTACAATCATACTTAATTGAATCAGCTGCTAAATGGTTTCGACACAACAAATCAAATATTTGTGACTGGTCCACATTTAAAATAGAAATTCTTAAAGTCTATCGACCATCACTTGATCAAACACTTTTAAAAATGGAACAACGACAACAATTATCTAATGAATTTGTTATGGAATATTATTATGATAAATTACAATTATGTTTACAAGCTGATTCTACTATGAGTTCAGCTATGATAATTCACTATTTAACAAAAGGGTTAAATCCTTTATTAGTTCCTTATGTTGTTCGTCGACATCCTTCAACACCTGCTGAATTTCTTCTTATAGCTCAGGATGAAGAAAAAATTAAACAGATGTTACAAGGTTTAACACAAAGTACAATTCGTCCACACGATGATGATTCAAATGATAAGGATCCTATTGATGAAACGGTCGCATTGATAAAACGACCTACTTATACAAACCCACGCTCATTTAATTATCGACAACAACCACAACGTATAACTCCTTCACCACAACCACTTATGAATTCACAATTTGTTTACCATCAACCATCACATTCAACTCATCGTTATGATCGTCCAAACCCATCATCAACTTTTATATCACATCAATGTTATGAATGTCGTTGTTTTGGTCATATTGCTAAACATTGTCCAAATCGAAAAAACGTTCGACGAGGTATCTAGATGGTGGTACCTCGTGGATTAAGAAAAAACCATCATCATCACATTCATCATCAATTAAAGTTCCTGTCAACAATTATATTACAAAAGTTTTAGTTGACACTGGTGCTGCCATATCACTTATACATGAACAAACTTTACAATGTATGCAACATTATCCAATAACGTCATGTTCTTTAAAAGAAGTTCATACTGCAAACAGTGGATTTATATCTCTGGTTGGATTAGTGAATCTTAATGTAAAAATTAATCATATTATAACTACAGTCGATGCTTATGTTACTCGTGATCTTGTTTGTCCAATGATCTTAGGCCGAGATTGGATTCAAAAACACCATGTTAATATTAATTTTTCTACCAATCGTATTTATGTCTATGATGGTAGAACATCTGTTCCATTATTACCTGTATCCCCTGCTGAACCATTAACTATGCCATTAGAACATTCAATTGTTATTCCACCATTTCATGAAAAATTTATTTCAGGTTACGTTCCTATTCAATCATTATTAAATGTAGTTTTCACACCTAATTTAGCTCTACAACGTTCCAAACTCGTCCTGATTCCACATTCACTGCTTCATATTCGTGATTATCCTGGTATTATTTCAATCAAGAATAATACTCAACGTCCAAAAACTATACCACGTCATACTCCATTAGGATCTATTTTTCCATCATCTGCAGATCTTGATATTAATATTATTCCTGAAATCTGTAATACTGTTTGTCATTTTTCTTCTCATCCTTTAACGTCATTTTCATGTATTCATTGTGCTGTTGCATGTGTTACTGAAACAGATCTCTATGAACATCTACTTGATTGTTGTAACAAAAATTCAGTATGTACAACAAAAACAATAAATAAATTCGTTGAACATATTGATGATTCAGTTCAACGTATGAAAGCCTATTTAATGCTCCATCAATGTCGACAACTTTTTGATGATTCATCTGCAACAGGAATCACTTGTACACCTCAGCGTGCTATTAACACGGGTTCCTATGCTCCTCTAGCTGTACATCCACGTCGAGTCTCGCATCTTAATCGACAGATCATTAATGATGAAATAAAACAAATGTTAGATAATGAAATTATAAGCCCTTCTACTTCACCATGGGCATCTCCGGTCGTTATTGTGAAGAAACATGACGGATCACCAAGATTTTGTATTGATTATTGACAGCTGAACTCCATTACTCAAAAAGATGTCTATCCATTACCACGAATAGATGATGTTATAGAACGTCTAAATGGATCACATATTTTTTCGAAACTTGATTTACGTAGTGGTTATTTTCAAGTACCTTTAGCGCCTGATGAACGTGAGAAAACTGCTTTTATCACCCATGATGGCCTGTGGCAATTTAATCGTTTACCACAAGGTTTAAAAAATGCACCATCTGTCTTTCAGAGATTGATGAACCAAACACTTGGTTCATTACGGTGGGATATCTGTCTTGCTTATTTAGATGATATTGTCATCTATTCCCCTTCTTTTGTCCAACACCTTATTGATCTCAATAAAGTATGTCAAGCACTCAATAACTCAAATTTTAAATTAAATCATATTAAATGTTCATTTTTTCAAAATAATATTTCATTTCTGGGACACCACATTAGTGCAGCCGGCTGTCTACCAAATGATGACAATATTCGTGCTATTATGAAATTTCCCATACCTACATCAGGTAAAGCTGCTTATTCATTTTTACAAATGGTTGGTTTTTATAGGAAATTCATCCCTCGTTTTGCTCAAATTTCTGCACCACTTAATAAATTTAACAGAAAAGGTCTTTCATTTATTTGGACGAATATAGAACAATCATCATTCGATCAATTAAAAGCCGCAATTACATCTCCTACTGTACTCATATTCCCTGATCCTAATAAACCATATATTATTAGAACAGACGCATCACGTGTTGGTATCGGTGCCGTGTTGTTACAGGAGCAGGTTTCTGATGATTATAATATAACACCTGTTTATAAACCAGTTGCTTTTGTTTCACGCACATTGAAATCAGCAGAAACCCGTTATTCTACTATTGAACTTGAAACATTAGCTATTTGGTGTGGGTGTGGGTGTGGGTGTGGGTATGAGTGTGGGTTTAATTCAAGATAAGATTTGCACCCACACTCACATCCAGACTCACATCCACACCTACACCCACACACCCACACCCTCTCTCGAAAGTAAACAGTTATATTTAATTATATTGAATTGAAAGTTATTGGATGAAACATTTTTGTTTAGTTTTATGGCACAACCTCACTCATTATTTAACCTATCGTTTGTGACAGTCCCAAAGCGGCTAGACTAGTCATATAAGCAGCATATTCTGCTTGTCGATTTCGTGTCTCTTCAAGATAGATATTATGTCGTTCTCGTGCCATTTGTATAATCTTCAATGATGTAGTGATTGTCTTGTCGGATGCTTGTTGAAGATGAGCTTTGCGTTCTTCATCCGTTTGCAAAATTAACAGTTGGCTTATGTATGCTATTTGATTAATGATATGTTCACTAGAAACTACATAGTAGGTTTTAGCCATAGTGAATAATAAATGAGCACCACTTTCAATCGTTGCTGCAGCCGGTATCAACATTTCAGTGAAGAATTCTCGATCAATCGGATCAACGAATAAGTTGTTGGTTTGGGCTATTTGAATGACTTCGACGAAATCTTTGACAACGACCTATGTAATGGGAGAAACTCTTGAGCAACAGATGGATTGCAGAAAAATGAAGTTATCTATACTTGTTCAGTACTATGGGCTTGAGCAGCCAATTTCGAGAAGAATCGAATGATGCGACTCCATTGTTCTTTGATCAAACTGATTTGTTGCGTTGTTTCGAGAAGAAGTCGAACAATTTCTTCTGTACTGAAGATACTCAAATCGAGCATAGCCATTTGTCCTACGGTCTTAGCCAATTCATTCTGTTCGGCTAACTGTTGTTGAAAATGTTCATTGTGAAGTTGTTCTGCTTTTTCTAGATCTCGGCGTGCTTGTTTAGCGATTTTCATAGCATTCACAAATTTGCAATTGTCTATAACTGGTTCCGGATTTTTGCAATCACCCAAAATACAACCAATGGTACTGACTGGATCGAATACAACACCGATGGCGAGTGTAATGATATCCGTGAGAGGATCTGATTGGGCATCAACAATCGCAGGCATTGATGAATCTGTAATAAGTTGCATGGCTTCGGCATACTTTTTCCGTGTACTTTCCAAAGCTGCTTTAGATGCATTGTATTGACTCTGAATAGTACTAAGGCTATTCTGAAGACGTTCTTGATCAAGTATTGATTGGTTTTTCTTCGTTTCCATGTCATAAATTGCGGCTTCGTTAACTCCTTGCGTGTTTGCACTCAATTCAATGATTTCAGCAAGTAATTCTTGTAGTAAATTGAAACGTTGCAAAGTAGAATTGGCAATATCGGCACTTTCCGTTGCTAAACGTCCGATACTATCGAAAATTCGTGGTAACATCGATTTAAGCATGGCATTCCCTGCTGAAGTAATCAATTTCATTGCTGTTTTGACATGTGACGGTACTTGTTGAATGGCTAACTGAATACGATCCATAGCCGTGTGAGCACCCATCAAAGCATTGTACATATCAGATGATACTTGAAGAAGAGTGGCACGAAAAGAATTTGGATATCTATTCGAAATCAACAATACATGGGGATATCAGGAATCCTCTGACGGAATTCACTAACAAGTCCAAATTTCCTATAGTATTGACGTTTGACAAAATAGAGATTGCCTCAAGTACTTCTAAGCAAAATTATTTTCAAAAGAAAGCAATTTTTAGACTTCTAATATTACGCCGAATATTTTTTTCGCGGCATTCTCAATTACTCACCTAATATAACGATAGACGTAGTCTAGTGGAGCTTGAAAAGAAAAATCACGTTTGCTGGCAAGAACCATAAGATTGCTCATGTAGCAAACAACAATCGGGCCGGATACCATCAATGTTTCCCATTCTTTGTCGATTTCTGTCTGCTGTTTTAATTGTTCATCACGCAGAGGATCGAAAATGCGATTGTCAACACGAAGTACAACATCTAGATGAAACAGGTAAATGCTTGAGAGAATTTCTCAATATCTTCAGTTAACTAACCACCAATAGAATCTTCATTGCCCAGTAAGTAATGCAGAAATTCTGTATCGCTCATTTTCGAAAGAGCTATAACCTCTTTGGTACTCATTCGTGCCACTTTTTCAATGTAAACATCCAGAAATGGATCTTCTAATGGATCGATAAACAGTGTGTGAGACGCAGAATGTGCCAAAATTGATGACCATGTTATCAACTGTACAAATAACAAATACAGACACACTGCAAAGCAAAAAATTATAAACAGAAAACGAAAGAAATTTACATCAGAACTTACTAGAGAGAAATTTCATCCTATTCTTTTGTTAATGGCATGATGATTCGGAGCAATATTTGTACCATGATAGATCAGAAAACAGGTGTTAAAAACATGATTTACTTTCTCATCAATATATACTATTAATCATATTTTTCGCCGAAGCTTAAAGACTGAAATCAAACCAATTTGATCGATGATAATATCGATGGTAAGCTTCATCACAATAGGTTGTTTCTTGATGGCAAAGGAAATTTGGTGAGGGTGTGGGTGTGGGTGTGGGTGGGGTGTGCGGGTG